CTTCTCAAAAATTGTAGACCAGTGTTATTGATTACTGCCAGGAAATACATTACCAAATCCAGCTCCAAACAAGAACAGATCGATGGCTCCAAGTGAACCAAATATAGTAAATGTCAATGCTTTGGGAGTTTTCCATCAATCAGTTCTGGCTGATCCAGTAGTGAAGGAGCTTAATATGCCCCATACCACTCATAAACCTGATTATGGGGACAGTAAGAGAATATTCATTATGTGTGCTCTGGGCAAAGCTTTAGCAGGAGGTATGAAGTTCCACACGTCCTGCAGGATACTAAGCAGTGCTTCATCATGATCATCCTAAGAGCAATATAGGACATATTAAGCTCACAGGCTCTCTCACAGTCAGAGGGAGGAACCAGTTACAGAGAATGAGAGAGTGAATACTGTCAGGCTAGATTGCAGTAGCATCAGTATAGGGTTTACTTGGGGCATGGCTACACTTGCAGATGTAGAGCGCTGGGAGTTAAACCAGCCTTCGGAGACATCAGCAGGGAAAACGCTGCCGAGTGTTTACACTCTCAGCTGGAAGCGCACTGGCGTGGTCACATTAGCAGCTCTTGGAATGCCACAAACAGCAGTGCATTGTGGTAGCTATCCCAGCGTTCAAGTGGCTGCCACATGCTTTTCAAATGTGGGGGATGGGGTGGAGTGTGACAGGGAGTGTGTTGTGTTTATGTGGGGGGAAAGAGAGTAGGTTTTGGAGGTGCTGAGAGTGTGTCAGTATGCTGTCTTGTAAGTTCAGACCCCCCTGCCCCCGCCTCTCTCTCTCACACACTCACAGCAAGCAACATTCCACACTAATGGTTGCTTTGTCCTGGAGCAGATAAGCATGCCAGCTGTCAGAAACGGAGCTTTGAAAGGGGATATCCGCATTCCTACAGCCGCTTCCAAAACAATGACCAGAGTGGCCACTTGATTTAAGGGGAAAATGGGACATTTCCGGAGGCCGATCAAAGTGCAGTAATGCAACACCTCGTTCACACTGACGCTGGGGCGTTTCAGCCGAAGCGCAACAAGCGTTATGCTTCTCGTGGAGGTGGATTACCAGGAGCACTCCAGCTGCAGAGTCCAGGCGCTCTAAGTGCCTTGCCAGTGTGGATGGGTCAGGAGTTAGGGCGCCTGGGGCTGCTTTAATGCACTTTAACTTGCAAGTGTAGCCAGGCCCTTGGTAAGTTATTTCTTGTTGAGAGATAAATAAATAAGTTATCCTAAAACCTACAAACAATTGAATTGAATAGGGACAGGATTAGATATACCAAAAAAAAAAAACCCTAAACTTTTAAAAGAAGGATTTTTTCAAAAATGAGGAAGCCGGTCAAAAATTCCCTGTAAGATCATTAAAATCCTTGGACTCAGCATGGTGTGAACTGAAGCAACCATAAAAGACTCACCCCTCTAAACAAGTGTCTTGTTGAATGGTCTCTCTCACAACACCCTATGTGCTTGGTTTTTTTCTGTCACCTAATTTTTAAAACTGTAAAATGATAAAAAAAAATCATCTTTGTTGTACCAGCCAATGCAAGGAAAATGCTACTCCCCCCTCAGCCCAGGAATATTTTAGTTAGGGATGGCAGGTCAGTCAAGCAAGGCATCAGATGTTCATATACTGTAACAAAGACAGTAACACAAACCAATGTCACTTGCATCTGAAGAAGTGAGGTTCTTACCCACGAAAGCTTGTGCTCCCAATACTTCTGTTAGTCTTAAAGGTGCCACAGGACCCTCTGTTGCTTTTTACAAACCAATAAGATGTCGATTTGTATTACAACATGTTTGAATATAAAATTTCTGTGGGCTAGGCTGTGCAATCTGTCCTCATGTTGAATAGCACCTTTCCCCACAAGCGTTTCCACTGAAGTCAGGAAAGATGCTGCTCAACGTGAGTAAAGGCATCACAATCTGGCCCTGTACATGGATATATGGTAGTGGAGATACTCTTCAGTGACAAGTCTATCAGGCCGTCACTGAATACGTTACCTAGTAGGGAGCTCCCAAACTGTGAGCATTGCGGTGTGTCTATATGTTAGTTTTAGGGGACAAGGCTGGTGGCATTGTATCCCTGAGGATTTCACTACAGCAGTGCCCAGTGCACATCAGTGTGTGTAAAACTGTTAAGATGTTATTCCTGGGAATACCACTTTATTGGCTAGCATCTGAAGGAATGGCCGTGTCTAAGCCTGCCTCTAAAAATCCTTGCTTGTCTCATTTCTAGATATGAACTTACACTTGAATTTTAAGATTCGCAATCCTATGAGTTTTGGCTGAAATTCCCAGCTCTCTGTGACACTCCTATCAAAGAGACAGAATGAATTAGCACGGGG